ACTGCTGAAGTGTAAACTCCACCCCTGATCTTGATGTCAACTCGAACTCCAAACCATTGTTGGTCTTTGGCTGGCAGATTGCGATTCACAAGCCACAAAGTGCGGTCACGGTTTCCCCAATCCCTAGCTGCGCCGGCCAGAACATGGAGAAGTTCAGGATCCACCTGGTCAACCTTCGGCACCCCATCATTGGTCAAAAGGACCCACAACTCATCTTCCAAAACTGGACGTTGGTCTTCATCGTACCTGGACTTGGACAAGAGTTGGGGCGGCGGACGATTTGGTGGTGGTGGATGATCAGGAGTGCGCGGACTCACAGGCTTCGGCGGAGGTGGTGGAGTCTTCGGCATCGTAGGAGCTGTCTTCACTGTTGATCTGGTCGGACGAATCGGACTCCTAGACCTAGTTGGCCTCTGGTTGGGTTCTGATGTACCAGCTGACTTCCTCCTCCTCAATGGGCTACGGGACCGTGGATTGCGATTTGCAAGCGTCGTCACGGCATCTGTCAACCTCTTGAGGGCTTGCAGAATCTCTTGGCTTCCGCTCGAAGTCTCTTCCGCTGGAATCTCTGGCTCTTCAACCTCAACCTCTTCTATCTCTTCTCCAACCTCTTGTTCGTCCAACTTGATGTCGTCTTCATGGCTGTCATCATCATCAAAATCCGGAACCGGCCTCACAGGCGAGGTCACGGCAGCGCTCGGCATTGGTTTGCTCTTTCGAGATGCCACGGCGTCACTCGCCTTCGGCGGTCGTGAAGATGAAGATGGCCTCGAAAGTACTGAAGGGCAGGCTTTTGGTGGAAGTGAGCGGGCTTTTGCACTGGTGCTGCGAATAGCCTCTTCTCGTGTCGGTGGTGGTGCTGTTGAACGCTCACCGGATCGCCACGGCACGTGGTCGTCCGCATCACCTCGAACAGCTCTTGGAGTGTGAACATTCTTTGTATGTGCTGGAGTCAATGTCACAGTTGTATCGCCGTAAAGCGGCCCACAAAGAGTGCAACGTCCTCCACACGACATCTCACGCCATTCAGGCGAGTGAGAATGAATCACAACACACGTGAAGCCCTTCGAAGCAAGATGCCTGTGGATCAACATGCTTCCGCCCACAGAACGATGACGCCCTGACTTGCAGCGCACATCCAAAACTCCCTTGTCATGGCGCTCCACAAAGTCGTCCACCTCACGAAAGATGCGGTCAAGACCTCTCTGATCCCTCCTAAGACCATTCAAAATGGCCGGATGCCTTCCCACGTGTCCACGCAACGAAGGATCTTGGTCGGGATCCCACAGCGACTTGGCGTTGATGTACTTCACGGGGATACCACTGCCAACATGCTCTGACAACCTGTCTTCAAACCGGTCACCTCCTGTGACCAGCAAAAACTCACGGCTCTTCAAATTGCCAATGATGTTGCCAAGCGCACGATGGATACCTTCGGCAGTCTGGGCTTGGTACCCTCGCTCTGCCGTATCCAATCTCTCCATCGGAGTATTGAAGGCTGTGAGGGCGACACGAAATTTGCGATGACACTTTGGAATCTTTTGGGGCATGGTGGCTTCGAGACTTTGGACCAATTGTTGAGGGGTAGCTGCCAACATCATCAAACCGGTGTGCATGCATCTGAACACTTTGAGGCGTTTTCCATTGATGCTAATGATACCATTCTTGAGGCCCTTTACTAGTCCCAAGTGTGCCTGAGCATGAAGAGACAAAAGCAGCGGAGATCGACCTTTCGACAGCTGGTGGGATTCAAGAACACCATGCACTGGATCTCCCTCGTCGAAGTGCAACGAAAAGGGTAATGTGCGGGATCCTTCTGTAGTGGTCCCTTTTTCACCTAATCCGGCAAAGTTCTTCGACGTTGTGGTTGAGAAAGGGAAATCATACCCCAGCTTCTTCAGCTTGGCTTCCACGACGTCTCCCCAGTGCTTTGAATGGCAGGTGGAATTACATCCCTCGTCGAGAACGACGTAGATGTTCCCGTCGTCTGGGCTGTACATGTCCCTGGCTTCGTGAAATATGTGCACCAAACCATCTGTCATCTGGGTAGGTTCCTCCCCATGAAAACAAATGCCGATTCCTGCAAAGGGGTCTGGATCTTCGGTGTAATCAATCATGGTGAACGAGTCTCCTTTGCTCTCTTCGATGGACAGGTGGAGGAGCTCGTGCAGCTTGATCGAAGTCACGGCCTCGGTTTCGGCTGCCAACGCGACTTGGGCGGCAAATTCAGTCAAAATCTTCTCTAGCATCTCGGGGGTGTGTCCTTCTTCGGGTTCCTCTTCAACCAAACGTTCAATCATTGGGATCCTATCGAGCGGTGCGTTGACGACTTTCTCAGAGGCTGCCTTCCTAGTCTTTTGGAGCTCCATCGGAGTCTCATCCAAAAACGAACAACAAAGCTTGCAATACACACGGTGAACAGACCTGGAAGAACCTCGAAAATCGGTGTCCGAGTGCGGGCAATCGTCATATGCAAACTTCGAGGCTTGCTCTCTACGCTCGGTGGTGGAGTTCCCACAGACAAGGCATGTCTTCTTGATGGTGTATGCTGTGCTCCCTTGTTTGGTGAACTCGGAACAATTCTTGCATTTCTCTTTTGGTGGATATGGTGGTTTCTTCCTTGAGGACCCTTTTGGGATAGGCTGCAATGACGATGAAGAAGAAGCACCACCAACCCTCCTGAAAACTGAAGCTCCCCTATATTCAAAATGCTGATCAACCCACGTGACGAAAGCCGAAGCGATTGGACTCTTGCCATTCTTGATGGCCCATTGATGGTAGTCAGGATGTTCATGAAGGATCTGCCAAAATGTCTTCCCCCCTGAACTGTCCAGCTAAGAACTTCCTATCGCTCCCTTCAGGCCTTACGAGGTCGTTGGGACTCACTGGTGCCTCCGGACGAACTCCTGAGCTGGCCTTCACGGCCATGTGAGCAACGCTGTCGGTTGGAGACGCAGCACCTAGAAAAATCCCTTCGTCCTCGGATGAATCACTCATGTGGGCAATGTGTGCAGCAGGTTTCGGGGCTGATCCAGTCTTCGGGGCATTGGGCATCTTACATTGGGGGTCTCCGGCCCAGTGACCTAAACCACCACAACGAAGACACTTGGATTTCGCCTTGATCTCGGACAGTTTCTGTCGACGTTGCTCGATGCTAAGGTGAGACTTCACTATCTTACCTTTGCCTTTACCTTTCCCCTTGAATTTATCCTTGCCTTTGCCTTTTGCCTTCCCGAAAGCGACGAATGCGGCAAGCTGCAATTGGATAGCATCACCTGAGGAACGTTCTTCGGCATCTTCGCAATCAACTACTGCATTCAAGGCAATTGCTTCATATTCATCAACATCATCATGATACTCAAAATCTTCGTATTCAGGATGGCTAGCATGTTCATGTTCTTCAGGCTCTTCAATCCCTCCTAGCATGCCTACGAAAGAATCTTCTTCATGATGATGCTCCTGCAAGTCCTCATCTCTCCAATCGAAATTGTCTTCCCAATCGGGATAGATGGCATTGTAACCAGTACGAGGGTATTGGCTACCTTTACCTTTACCTTGGTACCCCTTCTGGTACCCTTTGCCTTTGCCTACCTGAGGCTGAATTCCCCGTCCTGTCCAGGATCGGGACCCTTCACGAAGATGGATTCCACTGTAGTTGTCAACCAAGACTCGCGCAGTACCTTCGAAGTCATCGTTCTTGCGACAAGCCTTCACCACGAGGATCTCCTGCCTGGAAATACCTGACATCTCCAGCAATAGCTCTGTGCGGAAAGCTTCTGAGATCATCATTGTGGGGTCAAGCTCAACCAACAAGGTCCACCAACGTCGTCGACGTTGAGTGTACGACAACATGCTCTCTGTAGGCTGTCTCGACAGTGGTCCTCCATGCTTCTGTCCTGCGCGAAAAAGCTCCTTACTCTCCTCCAAGGCTCGAGGAAACACATGGTTACGTATCACCTCGATGAGACGCTCCAGTCCCCCTGGACGTGCAAGTGTCTCTAGACCTAAGTCTCTGGCAAGCAAAAAGGCATCACCTCTCAAACCTTCTACGATCTTGTTCACTAGGACACTGCGATCGATGATACTCGACTTGTCTGACTTAACGGACGAAGCCTTCGGTGATGTTGCATCAACCTTCGACTTGGGAGTACCGGCAGTCTCACGCGGCTCGGGCTCAAACTCCTCGGGATAGTGTCCAGGCGAAGGGAATGCGAATCCTTCGTCTGACTCTGGTGGCCAAGGCTCCCCTTCGTCGGCAGGTCCAGTCACGGGATCCTGCTTCTTTGCTGGTTGCGTTTGGGCTTGGTCGTACAGCTTGATGCGGAGTTCGGTTCGAAGTTTCCAATCATGAAATGATGCAGGATCTCCCCAATAGATGTAAGACCCACTCTTGGTTTCCAGGGGGTTGCCTATTCTATCACCAGTGCTACCCGAATGGAACTTGAGTCCAGCAATGGACATGTTCGACGATTCCGACGGAGATTGCTCGGGCGAGCAATCTATTCCGGGCTCTGTCCCCAACGGGATCAGAGGAGGCAAGCGAAAGCACGCAAGGAATGCAAGCTCAGGCTTGATGTTCTACGATTCCAATGACCTGGATCAGTACGTGCCGGAGTCAGGCCGTCACCTGCTCCGCTACCAATGTCGGTAGCAACCGGAATCGTACTGTCCACACGCTATTTTCACTGCGAAAGCGAGCACGGTATAGCTCAAGGGCCCTAGGAGCCAAACGGCGGCAGACACAACATAGTGTGACAACCTGGCTCAACAGAATGAGATCCTACCTCAAATTCACAAAATTGTTTACAAAACTCCTCTTGTCATGTCGCGTTAAAAACAAAAAGTATCTGAAGCTTTCCTGGGACTCAGTCTTGCATGGCTTCCCTTTTTAATATATATATATATATTGGGTGGGTTTGTTGATGCAATACTCTCTCGTCCTCCCGACACCAGCACGAAAACTGCCCAACTGAAGGTGGATGACACCCTCATTATTCACACTATCCAGCTGAGTCTGAGAAACTGGCAGTTCGGAATTCAAACTTGGCTTTCCTCGGTGCACGAAGCAAGTTAAGGCAGTTCAGGTTGGTTGCCAACAGCAGTTTGCTGCATCCAAAGCACTTGACTGGCTGACCCTTGAATGGCCCCAGCGACATGATGCCTGGTGCGCCCAGCTCAAAAAGTCAGCTTCCTAAGGTCTTCTAGAAGCCCTTGCATGCCTTTATCGAAACCCAGCTTGTAGCCTTGGCAAGTGATGCATAACATCCCTCCTGCCGATTGGTCAAGAATCAAAAGTGGATAACAAAACTCCAAAAAGTTCTGAGTCAAGCACATGTGTCATGAGCTTCTGCCAGCTTTACGCGATCGTTGATGGACTGCACCCCAAGCTTTTCACACCTCATGTCACTGTGATTTTCGCACAAAGGTGCCCGCTTTGAGGCCACCAAGGTTCCCAACACATACTGAGCAGCCATGGCTCGAACTTCGCCATCAATTTCGACCTCAAAGTGCAAGCTTCGGGCCAGGTCGCCGAACTCAAATCAACATGCAAAGCTTTGGAACATAAACATGATGTGGAAAATTGTGGACACATCCTAAAACATTGTTGCTCCCAGTGTATCCTGGTCGTATTGTTGCTGCTTGTCTTATTATATGCGTCGTGTGTGTTTAGTGGTTGCACGCGCACGTCTACAGTATGCAATGTTAACATATGTCAACCATACCTCACAGCCTCAATTTTGTGTGGGAGTGTGAGTAAAAACATGGCAACAAAGCAGAAGGGAATCACTAATTAGCAACACCGACCAAGAACATCCAAGAACTACACAGCAAACACAACCCAAAAAGCAAGAACATGAAAAGGAGCAAAAGCATCAGGTGTGGATGGTTCTATCCAAGCCCTCCTCTCTTCCACAAAGCGATAAGAACCTCCCAAATCCCGTAGCAGGTCGCCGGTCTCATTTCTGTCACGGGACATCAATGATGGGGATCAGATCGAAGGGCTCCACCCATTCTTTCTTTACTCCATAGTACTCGCGCTTCTTGTCTGAGCATGCAAGAGCAAAATCAGAACAAAAGCAGCACTGTCTGGATCCCCAAGTAATGTTCACGCAAAGATTTGGGATCGAGCTACAGTGAGCAAATCCAACCTGACTTCATGAGATCCATGTAGGCAGCGAAGTCATCAGGTGAGTCACTGGGCACACTGGTCACGATTCCTGTCCCCTGGCGTCGCACAGCTTGCTGAAGCAACAGTGGCTCATCATGGCTCATCTCATGGCCTTGTCCATCTTGATGGTCGGCAGTGGCAAAATATGCACGAACTCATACTTTGTCGTTGGAGCGGCAACCTAACAAAGTACAATCAAACTGAATCCAAAGGAAACCCTGCACAGCCCTGCCCCCAACACACCTTCTTTCCCAGCAATTCTTGACCTCGGCACCCATCAAGACCCCTCCAAAGCTGCGGTAAGCCCAAAGCATCACTCTCGAACTTGCCAGCACCTTTTGGGAAAGGTAGGTAACTTCTGCCAAGACGCCGGAGACCTCCATGACGCACTTGGGCTTTCCCCAGGGCATCAAAATGTCCTCAGCTTGGACGTGCAAAAATTGCTCCGACTCAGCCAAATGTGCTAGGTCGATCCAAGTGTCCTGGAAACTCATGTTTCGGGCAGCTCTGTGCGAGGTCACCTGAAGTCTGCAGAACCTCCATTTGTCTCTTGAGTGGCCCTGAAGCTAGCCAAGCAGCGAAGATCTGGCTATCAGGTGCTTCGAAACATCCATACTGCCCAGAAGGGAGGATCCAACAATTCGTCCTGGTCATGGGGGCATCACATGCACTAGTATCAAACCTCAGCGTAAGGAGCCAACTGCCCGGGCATCGTCTCCGCGCGCAAGGTTGCAGCCTAAGATTGTTCAAGTATGTTCAAGTCACTGCTTCAACTGCAGCCATGAGAAAGCCAAATCTCTCGAGGCTGCGGCCAAAAGATAAACCTGTGGCGCTCCAAAAGGAGGAGGCAAGGATACAACTACCATAATTGATGATATCCAAAGAAAAGCTACAAGCAAACACACCCCTGGAAGCAGGCTCGAATGACCAGTTGTCTGATTCGGTGGGAAGTCAGCGGAGAGAGGAATACTCTAGCACGGTGAGGGGGTTGTTTTTTTGTGTTGGGTTACAGTTGTTGATCTGGTACACTACCAGTACCTGGATCACAACCACATCGTACAGTCCTACAGTGTGTGACAAGGCCTGTGAAACATGTACGGTGAGTATGTATAGACGTGTAGGCGTTGCTGACAGAATGCGAAGCAACACCGTTGGCCCCCTTGCCTTGCTTCCTTTCTTGAACTTCTTCTGCATGTCTGGAGTCCACTCCAGCAGCTCTATCTTGATTGCAGTGTACTCCTTGCGTGAGCACAGCATGTGAACATATGGGAAAGTATTCCGTGCAACAGAAACGCGGCATCTGCCTGTGGAGCAACGCCTTCACCCTCAGCGCGGTCGTGGTCCATGCACGCCTTCACACATTTGGTCTTTCCCCAGCCAGGTCATGAAAGTTGCATTGCATCACTGCAACACAGGGCACCTGCTTGTCCACTTCACCTTAAGCCCAAGTTTGGTAGTTGGGGGTGATATTGCATTCGCACAAGGCACTGAAAATTGTAGGCCGCTTTCCAAAGCCAATCTTGTCAGATTTTTTGAGCTTCCTCGGGCGTATGAAAAATGGTGAGAATCTCTGGCGCTTGCGGCACAGGACGGAATCTCCCTAAGTCTCCTGAATTGCCAACGAATGAAGCTGTCCTTGGCTTGAACGTTTATGCTTGATTAGAGGTGACGTTATGCCACCCAAAACAATAGGCTAGAAAGCTCTGAGCTGTACTGTCGGTACTGTGCTCACCTTTCCAAGGGGCATAGAAGCTGTTGGTAGATGTCGTAATGAACCTGAGGCAGCATTTCCAACTTTCTACAAATGTGCGGTGTGTGGTTTGCACCATGTGCTGGTCCTTACTTGACACAGGTCCGAGGTCCCCGCGAGCGTCGGAAATCAACTGGTGTTCCAAAGCGCTTCAAGTCTCGTACTCCAAGTGGTGGGAAGTATTTCAACCTTGGAAAGCGTCGAAGCGACTTGGAACACTTTCGGATGTGTTTCATGGGATGCTCCAGGAGCTGTGCCAAAACGAAGGATCCACAAACCTCGGCAACACAACCACGGCCTATATATGGTAAAGTTTGTAGTGTCCACATGCACAGCTTTGCCATGCAAAGCATTGTCAAGCGATGGACTGCGGAATCTCCTCTGGGCCTAGCCCCATTGCCTCCAAACTTGTGTCATCTTTTGATGCCTCCAAGCCCTCGCCTCGCCTTCAAAATCTCATACTGGAACGCAGCATCCCCGCTTTTGGCCAATATCTTTTTTGCAACTCGCTTTCCACTGGGTGCACCTGATAGTGCGAACATTGGCCAGATTTTTTAGCCTGCACAGTTTCTATCGCTCTTAGACTTGCGCCACTCTTTTTATCTTTGGGTGCTGCATCTACCGATACTTCGTCTGAGACTGGGCTAGGAGGGCACTTCGTACCGTCCTATCCAATGAAGCATCAACATTTCAACATGTGTGAGTTACTGTACTTCAGTGGTGTCCTCCAGAATGGCCTCCACCTGCAGGAGCACGATTCTTCCAAGCACGTAAGACAGGGGTTCGTCGCTGCTCATGATCTATCATTCAGCTGGCACCTTGTAGGAACAGCCGCCACTTTCCACAGGCAAAATGGCCTTTACCTTGTTGCTTGCTGCTTTCAGCTCCTCCAGTGATAAAGGCTCAAAGCAAGGAAGGATTCTCTGAAAGAACCTCAAAATGGTTTGCACCCGGTTGACGGGGACAATGCTGCCTACATTTCAATCTGGTAGCCCAAACAAACAATTGTGCTCATCAACATCCTTGTGCTCATCAACTCCTATTCGGGAATAAGCTAAAGAACTAATGAAACGAAACCTATTCTAAGCATCTCCCTTGCTGCAGGCAAGGTATGCAAATTTGTGGCATGGATTCAAGCTGTCTTCATGAAAGGTTCTGGGCATGCGGAGGTGCATTTAGGTGATATCAGGTCACACTCAGAATCCAAAGATACGCAAGGGACATATAGCCAGTTTCCACGCAAAAGAATGCAAAGTAGTAGCAACAACTGCAACTACAGCCACGCTTTGGCTGAAACGGAAACCTTGGGAAAAGCAAAGGCATGGCACAACGCAAAGACCCGCCAGCAGTGGGGAAAAGGGGCACCTGAATGGATCGATCTCCAAACGTTGAGTGTGCGCCTCAGGGCCAGGATGCGGCACCCTTTTCACTTCTTTGAACTCGCCATCTTTGACCTCATGGTGCACTTTTATACTTCACGCAAGTCCACTGCTGCCAGCACCTTCATGTAGGCAATATACTCTTTGATTGCCTTCGCAAGGGAAACGGCTCGCATAGCTGAAGGTAGAAGTTATGCACGATGCATCAGCCAGGCCTTTTTCCCTGTTGAAGGAGGGGCTTTCCACAGCATGGTCACACCCTCATCATCGATCTCAATCACGCCAGAGTCTGGAGCAGTCTCCTAGCAGGCTGAAACTACCACGTTCGAGTGATATGAGATACAACGACGCTCTGGCCTTTGGCTGGGGGCGCCCTGGTGGGAAGGTTGGATAAGGCTTGCCGTACACCTCCAGCCTGGGCCGCAGGTGAGTTTCAAGCTAATCCGCACATCACACAAACACTACAAACGAATGGGCTATTATAGCGTGACTGCTCGACCCAGTTGGACTTGGCGCCATGGCTCCCGCGACAGCTTGTTGGCCGCAGCCTCATAAGGAATACAGCCACTTGACACTTGATGATGGTGCAAACCAATTGTCCTTAGGGTTGCCAAAGCTGTGCTATTGTCGTGGCGCCTGAATTGGCATGCCTGTACAATGAAAGCCAAATGGGAACAGGACCTGAACAGCATCAGGGTGATTTGCTTTGCAGCTTTGGACTGCTTTGCAACTTCTTTTAAGATATGCACTTAAAACCTTGAACCCTCTTCGAGCACCAGTCACTCAAAAACAGCCTCGCCGCGCCTTCTTTCCGAGCAAACGGTTGAAATGAGCCGCGAAAATGGCTTTCCTCACTCTACCACTCTGAATGTGAAATTGGCCAACACACGTACATATATATATATATACAGTAATTAAGTCAAGGTTCGTCAATGAAAAGGCGTGACCTATGTGCAAGAGACCATTCCTTATCTGAGGCAAGGGTCTCAGTCTTTCATCGTAATCTGTTTGTCATCAAGGAGTACTGTGCAGTCAGGCCGCATGTAAGGGTAGGGAAATGTGCACATAAACTTCTCGGAGGTCGCATCTGGAGCATCACATTCGAACACCTCGCAACCACTTGAATTCACTGTAGTTTTCCTGGCCTCCATGAAAACACACGCTAAAGCAATCTGCTGTCCAAGCACTTCACACGCTGACGAACACTCACACCACAGCAGGAATATCCTTTCTATGTGTTTTCTCTTGTGGCCACCTTGTCCTTGTCCCATTTCTTTTGCACGTCCACTTCGATCTGCTGCAACAGATCTCGCCTGAAGAGCCGACGCGCACTAAAACCCAAAAAGCCATTCAACAAACCAAAACATCGCTATAAAATGCTATAAGGTTGGAGGCCATCGCTATTAGGTATGAGGCCATCGGCCGTAGGTTGGAGGCCATCGCAAGTAGGTTGAAGGCCATCGCTATGGGGTTGGAGGCCGCGGCCATCGCTAGTAGGTTGGACGCCATCGCTAGTAGGTCGGAGGCAATCGTTAGTAGGATGGAGGCCATCGGTAGTAAGTTGGAGGCCATTGCTATTAGGTTGGAGGCGGCGGCCATCGCTAGCAGGTTGGAGGCCATCGCTATTAGGTTGGAGGCCATCGCTAGTAGATTGGAGGCCATTGCTAGTATGTTGGAGCCCAAGGGGGG